ATGAGTTCTTTTGCGCGTGAAAACAACAATGTGAACAGCTATACAACAAAATCTGATCAGAGCAATAAACCGGAATTGAGCACTAAGGCTCGCAGTGTGAACGTAGCCCAAGAGTTCGTGTCTAAATGGTTCTAGCTGTCACGCTGTATCACTTCCTGCATCCAGAAGAGCTGTGCGGTTAGCATGCACGCTCCATTAGACGGAACACTGGAGCACTGTGTACAAAGACTAAACTGTGCTAGATGAAGCTCTGAACCATCATCATCCTCTAGCAAACCTGTCTCAATGCTACCGACATGGTAACATCACTCCCTGTAACTGCAATTCTTAAAAATATCTTCACACACATCATCTTACGATGTTTTCATGGAGGACACGCTTGACCTGACATATAAAAGCTCCAGCTTTATGAGTTTAAAATAGACTGCTTGATCCCATGTGTGTCAGAGCGGAGCGTCTCCAATCAATATGACACAATTAAATATTTAACAATGATGATGGGTCACAGCGAAAATAAAGCCAAATTAAAAATACCTCTTCCCTATTTTATGTCTAGTTGCTTTACCTTGTTGGTAACACTTTACTAAAAGGTTCCATTTGTTAACATTAGTTAACTACATTATTTAAAAAGGCTTTTAAAGGTGACATATTATACCCGTTTTCATATTATGTAATCTATTGTGTCCCCAGAATGTGTCTGTTAAATTTCAACTCAAAATAACCCTCAGATCATTTTTTATAGCTTGTCAAATTTTCCCATTTTTGGGTGCGAGACAACAAACTTTTGTCATTGCGTTAGAACTGGTTACGCTGTTGTCGCCCGCTGTTACACAGCACTTTTGAGCTTCTGCAAGAACCAATGAGATTCATTCTTGTGTTACGCAGCACGTTTCAGCTTCCGCAAGAACCAATGAGGTTCACTCTTGTGTTACGCAGCACGTTTGAGCTTCCGCAAGAACTAATGAGATTCATTCTTGTGTTACGCAGCACTTTTGAGCTTCTGCAAGAACCCATGAGATTCATTCTTGTGTTACGCAGCACTTTTGAGCTTCCGCAAGAACCAATGAGGATCATTCTCGTGTTACGCAGCACGTTTGAGCTTCGGCAAGAACCAATGAGGTTCATCTTGTGTTACGCAGCACGTTTGAGCTTCCGCAAGAACCAATGAGATTCATTCTTGTGTTACGCAGCACTTTTGAGCTTCCGCAAGAACCAATGAGATTCATTCTTGTGTTACGCAGCACTTTTGAGCTTCTGCAAGAACCAATGAGGTTCATTCTTGTGTTACGCAGCACGTTTGAGCTTCGGCAAGAACCAATGAGGTTCACTCTTGTGTTACGCAGCACGTTTCAGCTTCCGCAAGAACCAATGAGATTCATTCTTGTGTTACGCAGCACTTTTTGAGCTTCTGCAAGAACCCATGATGAGATTCATTCTTGTGTTACGCAGCACGTTTGAGCTTCCGCAAGAACCAATGAGATTCATTCTTGTGTTACGCAGCACTTTTGAGCTTCTGCAAGAACCAATGAGATTCATTCTTGTGTTACGCAGCCAGCACTTTTGAGCTTCTGCAGAACCCACCATGATAGATTCATTCTTGTGTTACGCAGCACGTTTCAGCTTCCGCAAGAACCAATGAGATTCATTCTTGTGTTACGCAGAACTTTTCAGCTTCCGCAAGAACCAATGAGATTCATTCTTGTGTTACGCAGCACTTTTGAGCTTCTGCAAGACCATGAGATTCATTCTTGTGTTACGCAGCACGTTTGAGCTTCCGCAAGAACCAATGAGATTCATTCTTGTGTTACGCAGCACTTTTTGAGCTTCTGCAAGAACCAATGAGGTTATTCTTGTGTTACGCAGCACGTTTGAGCTTCCGCAAGAACCAATGAGATTCATTCTTGTGTTACGCAGGATGTTTGAGCTTCGGCAAGAACCAATGAGGTTCACTCTTGTGTTACGCAGCACGTTTCAGCTTCCGCAAGAACCAATGAGATTCATTCTTGTGTTACGCAGGATGTTTGAGCTTCCGCAAGAACCAATGAGATTCATTCTCATGTTACGCAGCACATTTGAGCTTCTGCAAGAACCAATGAGGTTCATTATCGTGTTATGCAGCCTGTGGTGCCTCTGCGAGAACCAATGAGGTTTATTCTCATGTTACGCAGAATGTTTGAGCTTCTGCAAGAACCTATGAGGTTCATTCTCTTTCATGCTCTGTTTTGGAGGAGGTGTGGCTTTGGAGACGCTCTGAAGGGAGGGTGGGATCTCATACTTTCAAAGCTAGCTTGCTTTTACCAGCCTTTCTGAAATGACAAACCCTTCCTTTAATGGATTAACTAAATGGCGCTTTTCCACTGCATAGTACGGTACGGTTCGGCTCACTTGTGGTGCTTTTCCACTCCATGGTACGGTACAGTACGGTTCGCTTCAGGACGCTTTAAATGGTACCTGGTCTGTTGAGGTTCCAAGCGTACCGTACCGGTACTAAAATGTGACGTGAAACAGTGCAGATCACTGATTGGTCAGAC